TCTAAATTCTTCACTTTCTTCTTTCACATTACATTTCAGCATAGCAGTTTAGCGTCAGATTTTCAGCATAAAGCATTCCCACTTGCAATTTCTTCAGGAATTGCATTCTCTAGTTTGTATTAATGTGGACCGGAGGGAGAGGGTGACGAGCATAAGTTTCACTTTCCTTTTTTATTTCAATTCCAACTTTGGTCATGAAGAATATGTTTCTCTGTTGTCCACGTTCATAAAGCATAAAACAACAGCATCAGAGCACGGTGCAGAGTCTCTAGATGAGTTTACAGTAGTCCCTCCTTCTTATTATATATCCATGTTGTAGTCCGCTGTATAGAAAATTGTAGTTTCCATAGTTTCCCCACAGCAGCAGACGCACATTTATGACGTCCGCTGGCGCATCATAAACACGTCGGATAGTGAAAGTGCAGTCGGATTCTCTAAAGTACTGCAGTCTCTTCTCCTAAGTCCTTTTGAATTCTCCTATCCACTATCCCTTAACCCCGTGACGTTTCACACAGAGGTCAAGGAATAGACGATAGGTTTAGACGTCAGGAGCTGATTTTTGGACTATTCGACCGCAACCCGGGGGTGTTTCTCAATGTCGAGGAAGGCTCCTTTATAATCCCATAAAGTGTCAAGTGGGACATCCTTCCTCTCAGTCTCCAGAACTTTAAACAAGCCGGGCTGGAATAGATGTTTCAAAGGTTTTTAAATATTTGAACAAGCCAAGAAACAGTCAATCAAACATAAGCCAGGACTTTTGCAAAATGACATCACCAGCAATGCAACATAAATCAAATGTATTTGTATTAGTTTCATAGAAAGGGAAGATTAATTAATTCAGTGGTATTCAGAGCAGGTCTTTGCATGGATTGATTATGTAATGTTCCCAGCAGGCACAGGCCCAGCAACCCAGCGTATCTGGTTCTAGTTCTCATATAAAATGTCACTTTAAAGAGACACGTTGCAGCCACTGGAACTCAAAATGAACCCAAAAAACCCACACAATGACTACAAACAGATGTAACAACAAATAGAAAGGTGCAAAACAGCTGCAAAGAGACAAAAATGACCACAAAAAGTCTGTGTGTCCTGCTGCAGATGGGGTGGGGCTTTTTGCATGTCTTTTCAATGTGATGGGGCCCTTTGTATTAAAATGTGCCCATGGGTCTGTGCTACAGCAGTTTGTTTGACAGTTTGAAATATACTGTACACAGCTGGACACACATGCACCTGGACATAGATAAAAACACTGTCTTGAGTGGTGGCCATTCTTTATAGTTGTTTATGTCACTGTGGTTTATGAGGTGCTGGTTCACTCCAAATAGTATATCTTTTTTTAAATAAATGTCAAAAGTCCTCCTCTTCCCATCTCTATCCACAGTTCTCTGTGTGTGTGTAATTTTAATTAAACTACTTCATAGGCTGGCAGCTTTTTTAAACTATCTACAGAAACAGTTGAGATCACTTTATCCGCTTCTTCACTATTATTTCCCCTCTCTCTTCTCTAGTAGTCAGGGATATACACACACTTTTATATTCCTCAGAACCTTCCAGTGTAGGACCACCCCAGAGTCAGCTTTAAATAACTTTACTGAGCACACACATGAATTAAAAAGTCAATTGCAGTCTCTCATCGCTTTGTCTCACAAAGAAAAGAAAGTGTTTCTGTGTCTTGATTTTTCCGCTTTTTCTCTACTTTTTGTTTAGTCACATAATTAAATGTTATTGCAGATGCTGCTTTTCACGATCCAACCAGCAGTTGCCTTCATTTGTTGCACCTTTATTGTGATGTAGATCATTTTGAAAGTATACAATTGACAGCAATTACTACTTTAAGTGTTCTTCGTTATAAGTCTCTGCTTTGAACACCTGGATTTGTAAGGTTTTTCCCATTCTCCCTTTTTGGACTCTAACTGTCTTGTGTCCCTTGTTGCCTGTTTTGTCAGATATACCTTTTGGCAACCTTTCCTTGTCTCAACAACCAAAATAAACGTTGCTTTTAATGTATCTTTCTTGTATGTGAGTCTTGCTTTTTGGTCGAAATCTTGTTTTACTCAGCCAGTTCACTAATTTATATTTACCCGTCTTCCATATCATTTAAATCACAAATTCAAAAAGAGATGAAGATGGAGGGGAAGACCCTTCTGTATTTTGTGTTATTCCCCTATTCCCTCCTAGGGATAGGGGGACGACTAGAGAAAGAGATGAGGAGGAGGTCCGGCCGCCTGAGGAATCGTCCAATCCAGCGGTGTTCACATCCCAACTCACTCTCTTTGGTCTTCAAACCGACAACAGAGGACACGTGAAGACAGCAACTTGGTGTGTGGATTTTATGCACAAGGATATTTTTAGTCTTCATATGCCTTAACAAGGTAGGTTGTTTTTCCTTGGTTAGTAAATATCACTGTAATGTGCTGGGATTTACTTAATCCAGGTTAAAGTAAGCTGTTAAATTGGTTCTAATATTTAATCTCTATCATTTGCTTAATTATAATAATTTGCACAAACCTTGTATTACATATGGACATGACATGTTCAAGAAATTGCAAAATCAGGAACCAGATGGCAGAATGCAGCTTTATTTCAGTCTTTCAATCCATGTCCTCTGCCATGTTTTATGCGAGTGTCTCTGTGATGATGAAGAGTGGAAAGACCTTCCCCGACAGGACGTGTTAACAGATTCAAGCTCATCCATCTCTGGTTAATATAAGGAAAGGGAAGACATTTTGGAGGTCTGTCAAATAACACTTTTAACAGGGTAATCCATTTGTTTTGGGTTAAGAAAGAAGGAATCAAGTCTGGATTGAAAATGGAAAAACGTTCACTCAGATGTCAGAATGGTGAAATATCTTCATTTAAACTAATTTGTTGAAATATCATATTACAATGTATACTTGAGAAAAAGCCGTTTTCATTTTATGTATTTAAACTTTTCCATAATTTACATGAAGGGTTTGCTAATATTGATTCCTTTTAATAAATGATCTAAAACATGTCAGTATTTTCATGAGCCTTTTATGTGAATATTTAATAATACTGTGTACTGCATGTTTGGTGAATGATATAACTCTTCATTTCTTGAGAGCTGAACACACTTTAGTCAGAAATGTTTTGCAGCTATCATAAGGATAGAACACCAACGCGATTAGTTTATTTAATCATACAGTGTAAGTATCAAAGTTGGTTCTTGGCCTTCAAAAATATAGTTTTACAAAACAATGAAATCACTATTTATATGAGCAATGTCAACAGATGACCACTGAGCAAACTGCAACAGCTGATGAAGAACATGTAAGTCTGAAAGCCCAGGGATAAGGTTCTTGAGTTGTGAAAGCTTAGTCATACTATGGTACAATTTATTTAGGCATTGAATCTTGAAAGTAGAAAGATTACAAATTGACCAGCACATTGTAATATACATGTCTTTATTAGTGGCTTTCCACTTCAGATGTAAGCCTTATTTTTCCTCAATTATATCTGTCATCACATCCTCTCATCTCAACCAGACTTCCTTTAAAATTCTTGGTCTATTTTTAGCTTAATATACAGTTACAGTTCACCTTAACCCTCTTGAAAGTGAACAGCATTGGCCTGTGGATGATTTTAAAGCCTTCGCTCCCTTAAACAAGATGTGTCACATTCATCAAATTTATGTGACTTGCGTTCAAGACAAACTGTTTCTCATGTTCAAAATAACATGTGTCAGAAGTGTATGAAAAGCAGAACACAGACATGGTTCATGTGAATACTGTACTCTGCGTTTAAAGTAACACACAAGGTCACACTCTTTACTTTGTTGAAAATGTCACATCCTTTTAGAACGCATATGAAGATGGATTTAGTCATCTTTACAGTACGAGACAACGTTGTTTATAGGATGAGGATTTCTAAAGTCTCTCTCTCTGGATAAACTTCTGCTGATGTTGACCACTTTTCATGCCTCGGGGTCATTACTCGTTCTTTTAGTTATTAGAAGGAGTGTGTCTGCTCACTTAGCTGGAATATGTTGCGTTGTTTTAAGCCCATTGGAGCACACTGCATCACTTTAGACTAGAGCTGTTTAAGTCTATTATACAGCATCTACGGTTAAGCCATCTGTCTCCATCCAACATTATGGGAGTTCCTGCCATTAGTTCAAATCCCTGCTCGAAGATGATTTAAAAGTAAACAGTCAGCAACAGCACAAGTTTGGAAACAACCCTGATATGCTTTTAGTCTTTACACTACAAACAAATGGGTCTGGAACAAAAATCGGATTTATTTTCACCATAGCAAAACACTAGCTTTTGCAATAATATTTGATTGTTTAATGACTTGTATAATTGCAAATAAAAAAAGCTACATCAAAGTTATTCAATTTAGGAAAGACATTGCAACATTTCTCTGTATGCAGATTATGTTTAACTAATCTGAAAAACTACTCTCCCGACATTGTTTCTCTGTCAAAAGCCACTTCCTCTTAGATGAAATCAGAAAGTATTTTTCACATATGCTTCTATATACTTATGTGAACAGTGGATACATGGTTTGTTACCATGTGAATTCATTACTCGAAAACTACGTTAGGATTTCTCATGGCATCTTTGCCTAAACGTTAGAAATACTCTGTGACATGGATAAAACAGATACTTATGAATGTTGGATAGTTTTATCTTTCTACTATACTAGAGGTCAAGAATGACTTTTCATGCTTAATAAATACAGACGCAATCTCTGGGGGATTTTAGCCTTTTTTCCAGAACTAGATTGAAAAACTCAAGCCTAGCTAAAATTCTATTTCTTACTACCAGTTTAAATAATAACTTAAAAGCTCCGAATGCTACTAATAACTTGTTAGATATTTAAAGAATGGCACATTTATAATGGCCACCACATGCAACCTTGTGTTTCCAATTCTACAGGTAGCTGTTTTGATGTTGTGTTGTTATGCACACAACTTTGTTTTTTTGTCTTGTTACTTCAACACATCTCCAGCCAATCAGACACCACCCTGCCAACCAATGGAGAGCCTTCTCAATAACAACAGCTCCACCTCCACCACTGAGCCCCTCCTGCCCCTTTTGAACCCTGACCCAACCAACTGCAGCGCCTGGGACCAGCGGTGGGGGGCACCATACCTGCACAGGTTAGCCCACCTTGACATGCAGCTCTACCAAGACTTCTACTTTGTGTGGGTCACTCTCATGGTAAGACCAGATACTGTATAACAATGTCACCAAATAAGCCTTGATTGAGTGATTAGGACCACTGTTAAAGATGAAATGCTGACTCACACACATGCACACACAAATATACCCAATCTTATTTATAGCCTTTTTTTTTCATTGGTTTTGTTATTGTTATTGTTATTATATGTAACTCTTTTAAAAAAAACATATTTTGACATCAATATTATGTTATTTATAACATTTTTAGATACATGCTTCAAATAAACCCAGTGGGGTTTCTGAGTAGTCCACTCTATTTTGTTATGTTCTGTTTCTGTATTTTTACATAGTGAAAATGCACTTAAAGTCATGTATCGAACCAGAATTTGGTAACAAACTACACTCAAATTAAGGAATTTGTTATTGGACTTTTTAATATAAGTTTGGAGCACAGCAACGACTACTACTACACCTCACTGTGTACAGGAAGATACAACTTTGAAGAAAACAGAATCATATAAGTACATCAGGTTTCATAGAGCCAAACATTTCAAGTGCTACTCAACTGGCTATAGATAAGCCAGTCCTTTATTAGTATATAAGTGCTCTGTTAGCAGTTCTTTGTTAGTAATTATATCGTTCGAAGTGGAGTCGAAAGAGATGAGTTTTCAGTCTGCGCCGGAAGATGTGCAAGCTATCTGCTCTCCTGATTTCAATGGGGAGCTCATTCCACCATTTTGGAGCCAGGATAGCAAACCCACGTGTTTTTGCTGATGGGAACTTGGGTCCCCCTCGCAGCGAGGGTGCAGCGAGTCGTTTGGCTGATGCAGAGCGAAGTGCACGTGCTGGGGTGTACAGTTTAACCATGTCCTGGATGTAGGAAGGGCCAGATCCATTCGCAGCATGGTACACAAGTACCATTGTTTTGAAGTGGATTCCAGCAATTACTGGAAGCCAGTGAAGTGAGCGGAGGAGCGGAGTGGTGTGGGAACATTTTGGAAGGTTGAAGACCAGACGAGCCGCTGCATTCTGGATGAGCTGCAGAGGTCGGATGGCACATGCAGGCAGACCAGCCAGGAGGGAGTTGCAGTAGTCTAGGTGTGAGATCACAAGAGCCTGGACCAGAACCTGCGTTGCTTTCTGGGACAGCTGGGGACGTATCCTCCTGATGTTGTAAAGCGTGTATTTGCAGCAGCGGGTTGTAGCAGCGATATTTGCAGTGAAGGACAGTTTGTTATCTAGGATCACACCCAGATTCCTTGCAGTCTGAGTCGGGGAAACAACAGAGGTGCCGATGTTGATTGTTAGGTCAAGAGTGGGGCAATCTTTTCCCGGAAGGAAAAGCAGTTCAGTCTTGTCAAGGTTGAGCTTGAGGTGATGAGCAGACATCCACTGAGAGATGTCAGCTAGACAAGCAGCGATGCGTGCAACGACCTGGGTCTCTGAGCGGGGAAAGGACAGAATTTATTTGGTGTCGTCAGCGTAGCAGTGGTATGAAAAACCATGCGGGCTAATGACTGATCCGAGCGAGTTTGTGTACAAGGAGAAGAGGAGGGGACCAAGAACAGAGCCCTGAGGGACCCCTGTAGTTAATTGACAAGGGTCAGACTCGGACCCTCTCCAAGTTACCCTGTAGGTACGGTCTTTGAGGTATGAGGTGAGGAGGGAAAGTGCAGTGCCTGAAACTCCAAGTTTTTGGAGAGTGCGAAGGAGGATCTGATGGTTCACCATGTCAAATGCATTAGACAGGTCCAAAAGGATGATGACAGAGGAGAGGGATGCTGCTTTGGCAGTGTGCAGTTCCTCAAATACAGCAAGGAGAGCAGTTTCTGTGGAGTGACCTGCCTTGAAACCAGACTGGTGTGGATCCAGAAGGTTGTTCTGATGGAGATAACAGGAGTTGTTTAAAGACAGCGTGTTCAAGTGTTTTAGACAGGAACGGGAGGAGAGAGACAGGCCTGTAGTTTATAACATCAGACGGGTTGAGAGTGGGTTTCTTTAGGAGAGGGTTTACTCTTGCCTCCTTGAGACTGTTTGGAAAGTGACCAGAAGTTAGAGAAGTATTGATGAAATGGGTGAGAAACGGTAGAATATCAGGAGCAATAGTCTGAAGGAGGTTTGAAGGGATAGGGTCCAGAGGACAGGTCAGGGCCGGCCCTCGGCATAGGCAGTATAGGCGAATGCTAAGGGCGCATCAAGGGGGCGCCGAAAAGAATTTTTTTTTTAAAAAGTTAGAAATTTAAAAAAAAAAAAAAAAAATTTAATTTCATAACACAATTTCCCGATTTTGGATCAACAAAGTACATCTTATTATCTTATACTAACATAACTACGCCTATATTGCGTACAGCGCCCATAAACTATGGCACACACCCCCCCCCAAAAAATCAAATTGAACTGCCCCAGTCCCAGTAAAAACCAGAGGTTTATGTGAAATTGTTCTTTTTTTTGAAATAATGGTTTTAGTGTGCAATTATAGGTTTTAATTTTGTATTTGTATTCATTTAAAATAAATCAAACTCCCAAAAAACGTACACAGCTTCTGTGTGCTTTTATTAACATTGGAATTTACTGTGTAAGCGGCCGCGGGGGGGGAGAGCTTTAGAGAGCTCTCTCCTGAAAGACTGAGAGGCTCTGATAACCTCAGCTCAGTGAGGTAAAGCCACACCTTTATATGATCATTATATTTATAAAAAAATAAGAGAATAGGTGAAAAACAGGTATAAAATACTGACAGTACAAAAAAGTTGTTATTAATAAACAAGAATACAGTTTGAAAGGGGAGTGATTTGTAAAATATCCATAAAGAAAAAGAAAATCTGCTTACAGTTCTGTTTCATATGGGTGTTGAGAGATGTATCCATAGATCTCCTAATGTTGCTCTCAAAGTGCACCAGATTGATGCTTTTAACTTCAATATTAAAAAAAAAAATCTTCCCGGGGGTGCATGCCCCCCTAGAGGAGGTGAGGTCCCCCCCCCACTTAAATCATGTTCAAATGGATAGGAAACTAAATACAGTTGCACACATCATGCCACAACCGTGCAAGCGCGAATCATAGTGAGTGTCTGCATTTTGGGGGGGGGGGCGCCAGCTAAAATCTTGCCTAGGGCGGCAAATTGGTCAGGGCCAGCCCTGGGACAGGTGGTAGGACGGGCAGAAGTAATGAGGGTAAGAACCTCACTTGGAGAGAGAGGGGAGAAGGAGGTTAGTGTGTGGGTGAACGGTGCGTCTGGCGACCCAGCGGTGAGTAAAGGTGAGTCAGAAAAAGAAGAGCGAATATCATCAACCTTTTTTTCAAAGTAGTTAACAAAGTCGCTTGACAGAAGGGAGGAGGGGGAAGGGGCTTTGGGGGGGTCCAAGAGGGTGGAAAAGATGGAAAACTGTTTTTTGGGATTGGAATAGGAAGATTGGATCTTATCTTGAAAGAAAGTGCTTTTTGTCTGAGAGATCGAAGCGGAGAAAGAGGATAGGAGAGCCTGATAGGTTAGGAGGTCGTCACGGTGTTTGGATTTCCACCGTTTCCGCTCTGCTGCCCGAAGGATGGTTCTATTAGCACGCAGTGCGTCATTTAGCCAGGGAGCAGGAGGGGACTGACGAGCCTGCCGAGATGTGAGAGGACGGAGAGAGTCCAGAGAGGATGAGAGAGTAGAGAGGAGAGTTTCTGCAGCAGAGTTTGGAGGCAGAAGTTGGAACGAGTCAGAGGAAGGGAGGGCTGAGAGCACCGATGCGGCAAAGGTAGAGGGGGAGAGGGAACGGAGGTTACGGCGGACAGGTGCAGGATGAGAAGAGATTAGTTTGTTATGTTTGGAAAGGGGTAAAGAGAATGAAATTAAGAAGTGATCGGATGTGTGAAGCGGGTTTACAGAGAGGTTAGTAGTGCAGTTCCTTGAGAATATGATATCAAGGACATTGCCAGCTTTATGAGTCGGTGGTGAAGGAGACAGTGAGAAGGCAAAGGTGGTTAACCGAGATGTTAGTTTGTCTATCTTCCCTGTCTGGAGGTTGAAGTCTCAGAGAAGTACAGCGGGAGGGCCAGTTTCAGGGATGTGTGAGAGGAGATTATCTAATTTCTCCAAGAAGTCCCCCAAGGCGCCTGGTGGACGGTAGAGAACAACAATGGTTAATTGTATAGGATGGGTTACTGTGACGGCATGGAATTCAAAGGTGGAAGGAGTGAAGTTAGGTAGCTTGAAGAGGGAAAAGCTCCAGTTGGGAGAGAGCAGGAGACCAGTGCCACCTCCTCTGCCAGTGGGTCTGGGTGTATGGGAGAAGGAATATGCTGTGGAGAGAGCTGCTGGGATGGATGTGTTGGATGGTGTAATCCACGTCTCAGTGAGAGCAAGGAAATCCAGAGACTGCAGGGAGGCGTAGCCAGAGATGAAGTCAGCTTTAAGAACAGCTGACTGGCAGTTCCACGGGCCACCTGCAACTAGCTGTTGGATCTCAGTGGAGCATGTGGGATAGACGAGAGGAGGCCGGTTATATCGATTAGGAGATACACGGGGCCAGTGATAATTGCGAGAAGACACATGAACAGGAATGGAGAAAATACACATGATTATAGCATGAGGGGCTAAAAAATAAAATAAAATAAAATACTAGAGATACTTAGCTCAATCAAAGTAGGATTTGCCTCCTCTTTGCCACCCTCGTGACTCCCGCAGGACTCCAATGTCTTTGTCAGTCTTACTCCCGCAGGACTCCAATGTCTTTGTCAGTCTTCGTCTGACGCTCCAGGAAAGAGCTACCTAAAATGGACACCTGATTGCTGAGTTCTCACAGCTGTGGGGCCACGCCCCTCTAATTAGTTAACTATCTTCAGCTGATGGGTGACAGCAGAGTCTTCCTGCCTATTGTAATGCAGGGTTGAGAGAGTGACCCACTGAGACCTGTGTAACAGGTTCTGTTGAGCAGATCTGAGATTTAAAATCTCTCAAAAGCGCAGTTTCAGCTACAATAACTACAGAACAATTATACAGAGTAGAATAAATAAAACAGAGAAGTCTATTTAAACAAGAATATAACTTACAGTGATTGCTGAGTCAATAGGTAGTGTCGTCACCCAGTCTAGATGCACACTGTTATGAAGCCTCCACAGTGGTATAAAGGGCTGACCCTAACCCTACCGAGAGCCAGCGCACCACACAGGGCTCCCCTGGAGCCCTACGCTCTTCCCTAACCTAACCCTAACCCTAACCCTGCAGGTGTGTAACTGCCTGATGCTGGTGGTCGGTGTGGTCCTCAACTCTCTGGCTCTCTATGTCTTCTGTGGAGCCTCCACCAACTCCTCTGCCTCTGTGGTTTACACCATAAACCTGGCTGTAGCTGACCTGCTGGTGGCGCTGTCACTGCCCGCTCGCATCGCTCTGTACCACAGTGGAGGGAGCTGCTTGGCCTGCTCCTACGTTCACACCTTCAGCTACTTTGTCAACATGTACTGCAGTATCCTATTTCTGACAAGGTATGTGGTTTGACCCATTCATACAACATTTAAAATGCATACATATTATCAGCAGAAACCTCTAATCTAAGACTTTCCTTCCACCCCTTCCTTAAGTATCTGCGTAGATCGGTACCTGGCTGTCGTACATGCATCCAGCACTCTCCATCGATGCAGGACCCCGGGAACTGCCAGGTGTGTCAGCGCCACAGTTTGGTTCACTGCAGTTGTGGTCACCTACTCTTTCCAGGTGAAGACACATGCATAACAAACACTATACAAACACTTTAAACTATTGATTAATAAGAACAAAGGTCAATAAGTCTCCTACAATAGAGGAATGCATCTAAAATTATGGATGGACTGCTTCTACTGCATCCCCCTCCTCTATTTACACCTTTATCAAATGTTGATAAAAAGGAAAATAGAAGCATTTAAGTCCCTCATGTTCCGCTCTGGTCTCTTCTTCCATTTTGCCATGCAGACCGCATTCTGATGAAGACACATCCTTTCTGATCTACTCAAACATCTAATTTATCTGTTAAATATCAATACAATACAGTGTTGGTGTCACTGGAAATGCAGAGTTTCTTTCAAGCAAAGTGTAGTGTGGTATCATTGGCTGAATCTAACTGTAACAATGGCAGTTCCAGTATAAATGTGTCCCCAAGACCTATTAGTGAGGTGAAACATTTGGTAGCTTGTTGTTCAGCAAAGCCTGATCACTTTTGAAAATGTTGAGTAACTTCACTTGAAAGAAGAAAGAGCTCTATAAGACAGTTTGTATCTCTCTCACTCTGAACAGACCACAGCGTTGGAGTTCAGCTCCTCCTGTGTGCTCCTTCCTGCCCTCTTCTACCTCACCATCCTGGAGTTCCTGCTCCCCCTGTTGGCCGTGGCGGGCTTCACTCTGCGGGTCGCCTGTTTCCTCTCCTGCAGCCACGGCCTGGTGCCCCAGCAGAGCAGGGCGAGGAGGGCCCGCGCTGTTAGGCTTCTGGCCACCGTCCTGGTGGTCTTCACTATCTGCTTCACGCCGTTCCACGTCCGCCAGGTGCTGGTTTACTTCAGGGTGAAGGTCGGAGGGGAGGGGCTTGATCAGGGGCCGGGGCATGTGCTTGCCTATCATATTACAGTGACCCTGAGCAGCCTGAACAGCTGCCTGGATCCAGTGGTTTACTGCTTTGTGACTGACAGCTTCAAGAGAGTGTGGGGGAAGAGAAGGAGAGGAGCGAGGGAGAGGGACGGGGAGGCAGGGCACACCAGTGGGGAAGAAGGGGAGAGGAATTCAGTGAGTAAATGTCCAGGTACGGCTCTGGCTTTAGCTCACAGCGTGGTCACACTCACCTTCACCAGCTCCCCCCTCTCTGCTGCCAACATGGAACAGTCCACTTAAAGACAGGTGACTCCGTCGACCCCTGTGAGTGGAACAATCCAGAGACACATAGAGAGAAAGGTGTCTCACCATACCTGCACAGGTTAGCCCACCTCTAGGCTGCACATTGCTATTTAGGATTAACACATCAAACAACTTGCATATACAGTAACATCACTGCATTGGCTGCCACCCTTTATCCATTTCCTTATCTCCTCGTACTTTCTCTCCTCTTAGTTTGCTGGACCACACATGGGATCGTTTTGATTTAAAACTGATGAGCTTTTACTTTTGGAGGGATCATGTCTTGAATGTTATGTGGAAAAAAAGAAACACATGTCTTGATGACATGGTTCCAAAACATTTAAAGATCTTGGATAACAGTTCAGTCTGCCAACACATGTAGAGTTACAAAACTTCATAACATTCAGTTGTTGTTGGCTATAAAAACTTTGAAATCCAATGCAATTGAATGCAGCAGCTCAGCTGTAAATCCCACCTCTACAAAGATAATGATGTTCAGTTTTGATACTTTCAAAGAGGTATTATTTAATTAAAAGTAAATGATTATAGTTAAACACATAAGCAGTGATGTGAAACTGAACTCACATCTTTAGAAATGTGTTTCTAATATTTGGGCTAATTACAAACATGTGGGGGTAAGAATAACAGCAACACATTACAATATGATGCAGTCTAGTACAAAACAACCTTAGGAACCTACATATGGTGAACAAAATCAAGCCATTGTCATGTTTGTAAAACTATTCACGTGGCAGTGCTGTGATTGCATTTGATTGTATTGTAATCATAAAGAATTATTGTCTGGAAAATTGTTGTTAGAAGTGTTGAATGCTAAAGTCCGGTACCAGGTTTAGCCTCATGTGATGTTGTTGTAAAGTAAAACATTTCTTTTGCTATGATTGTCATAATATTTCATATTTACGTTATTAAACCAACACCTTGTTTCCATACAAAAATACAACAGCATATTCTGGTAACTGTCCAAAAAAGGCTAACATACTAAAATTAACTTGTAAGATAATACCTAAGAGGTATGTGCTTTCTGGAATTTCTGTGATTATGTAAGAAACATGTACATCAAGGAGACTGTAATGCAGAATAATAGAATAAGAGAGTTAGGGTTAGAGAGCCAAACCAGAGGAGTGTTGAGTCAACAGATTAAATAGGCTAGAAGCAAAGCCCTCTGCAAAAGTATAAACACTTGTAACAGTTAGTTTCTCGAGTACACAGTGAGGCTCTCCTTGTTTATCATTTGAAGTGCCTGCCCTAAATGGAGTAGTGTCGTCAGCGTCAAACAGAAAACGGACATCTCTGAAATACTGACTTGTGAAAAACAAACCCCTAATTGAGTGAACAAATGCTTTATTTAATTTTTTTAGAGACATTTTGGAGGATGTGATCATTGATGTGAGTCATAATACACGGGATCAGGTGAGGTTTGCAGGAATATACAGTATGTTCTCAATGTAGACATTCTGTGTTTTCTTAAAAAGAACTGAAATAATAGCTTGTTCCTGACTTTTTGTTTTGAATCCTGTTTAAATAAAGACATTTGATTTTGATCTGTTTAAAGTAGAAATGTTACTGCAGGTTTAATATCTACGCTATTTGATTCCAATTTTGAATGCAAATAAAGTAAAAGTCATCTTTAATAAGATGTATAGAGCTTTTCTGATTTGTTCCACCAGAGGACAGTATCACTCCACTCACTGCAGTGTCTCACCTGCATATTCTGTAACGGTACATACAATTAAAATAGACTGTCAAAACTAATTTCGTCAAAATTGCTACATGGACTTCAGCTGTATTCAACTAGACTAAGATGTTAAACAGGGTTGACTGTATGTTATTGATTACATTAATATTAGAGAATAGCTGTTCATTTTCACATAAATCAAATAATGTGTCAGTTGTCACAGGAAACTGAACAATTAAATTGAGCGTTATTTCTGTTGAAACACTCCAGTGGGACAGCAGGTTATTACAGTTCACTTAACGTAAATAGCGTCACACACAAACAACACACACACACACACACACACACACACACACACACACACACACACACACACACACACACACACACACACACACACACACACACACACACACACACACACACACACACACACACACACACACACACACACACACGTACGTTTCAAGTTCCTTCTCTGGTTTCCCTGTATGGAAAGAGAGGATCTGTGACCCTGAGACTGAGAGAGGAACCTGGCTCTGCAGGAACAAAGTTGTCTGATCTTCCTCTCCTCTCTCAGCGGTCTGGCCACCACACTGCATTATGGGTAAGCTCTGAAGATGCCGAGCTAGGATGCTTTTGCCCCTAAAAAACATGTTGAAGGAATGTTGAAGCCTTTCCTTAAACTGCTGACCGGCAGTCTACTTCACCAGCAGTCACATGAGAAATGACATAACACACCAAATCTTCATGGATACTCAGTCTTTCAGTTTAACACATTTTGTATGTGAACCGTGTGAGGTTTATTCCAGGCTTTTAATTTAAATTGTATACTGTATTTGCCTATGGACGTTTACTTGTATGACACCAATTACCAATAGGATGTTATTTAAAGGAACAGCTCCGGATCCGCTTACATTCAATACTACTCATGTGAAATTGACACCTTGTTTAGAGCAATGGATAAAATCAAACAAATGTATAGGTCTCTAATGAAGGGGACATTGCCAATTCATGTACATTTCATTTGTGCCTCCCTATTTGAGTTCTTAATTTCATGCATTTCACATGGAAGCTTCTGTGTTTAACTTTAAATTTACTGCAACTTCGCAGAGACCAAAAATGGCGTTGTGTGATAACGATTTACTGCAGAATGTTGTTTTTAAAGCTTGCCATCACATGATTTGGGTTTCTAATACCATAACACTTTGTTGCTTGGAGTTGGCAGGCGAGTCTGACAAAGCAGAGAAAAAACCTGCTCAGCCCCCCACCAGCAGAAAATGTTTAAATAAACAGAAGGGGGCATTCATTTTGCCCAAGAGTTCTTTGTTAATAAATCCCTTGTTATTCTCACATGGTCAGAAATGTAAAATAATGAAAGGAGCCATTGTTGGTTTAATTCAGAACAGATTTTAAAGGTGCGTTCCAAACAGTGTTCATCCAGAGTCCTACTTATGAAGGCTCAAGCATATTTACAGAACATAGAGATATATACAGTCTTTATATAGAAAACAAAACTACTAACAAAAATAATCATCTTTTTTATAGCAGCAAAAAAAGAAGAACCTAAAAGAGAAATATGTATATTTACATCTTTTTTTAAAATAACAAGGCATATTATATATACTGTAGTATACTGCGCATACTTTCCCATTCTTTAAGTATTCTTCTTGATTTAATCTCTGTGAGGATCAACGTATAGGCATCTATCTCCTCTGTCACACACACACACACAGACACACACACACACACACAGTCTGGCCAGGTTGGACTAACTGTTCGGCCACCACGCTGCTGCCACTGACAGCGTCACCACGTCTCCACATTCATTCAGTGATCCGGACGGTGGAGCCAACCAACATGGCTGTCACTGAAAAAAAGTGCAAAGGCCAAACTCTCATGTGTGGCTCTGCCTTCAAATTCTAACAGAGACAAAACAATGACATTTTCTAATTGAGTTAAAACACCAGAACAGAGACAGTAAAGACTCGTAAATAACCTTTCGGTGATGCAGCCATCGATTCCAGAGTTAAGTGTAAACCAGGTGATTGCAAAGTACTGAGAACAAGAACCCAAAACAAACACTGAGATGACATTTTAACACGTTCTAGCTTTACATGTGAACAGCTATGAGACGACTACTCTCACTCTCTCTCACTCTCTCTCACACACACACAGACACACACGCACACCTGTAACAGAATATAGAACAATTTAGTATTTTGGAAACCAATTGTAAAGTGTCCTTTATAGACAAGAAAGCTCAAAAAAATAAATATCAACAGTTATTTGTTTTCTTCCTTTTGCAACACTTTTTTTTTTACCTATTATGTGCAAGTACTGTGCAATGTCAGGCTTGTTGAACATCAAAACTAAAATTATTTCAGCTGAAATCACTTGACATTCATTGACTTTGTTTTTTAACATTTAAGTCACAAGATGGAATCAAAGGTAAGAACTCAATCTCCCAGCAGGCCATGCTGCTGTCTGAACATTCTAGAGTCTGCGGTAAATAAAAGGCTTGGGATAATAAGAACCAAATAACTAAAATCAGAGACTTCCCACTGCATTGGAAAAGAGACACTCAAGTTGCACTTCAAGTATTTGAGGCCTGGAGTCTCTCACTTACACTTTTAACAAGGAGTGTTGCCCCTGACGACACGTGACGCCTGAAACTTCACCCATACATGTGCAAAAACTTTAGGAAGTCACATGCTTGTTGAGCGTGGACTGACCGAGCACAATTCTTCAGCTGTAAAAGAGTGCATGTTGGTCTTTGCACGTTTAAGTTCAAACTAAAAGACACAAACATCCAGCCATGCATTAGTAAATACATCCCTGGCCTATTAGGACAATAAAGACAAGAGCTCGAGTGATTTTTACAGTCATACTTTGGTGTTCTACACATGCATATTGCTGTTCTCACATGCAAACCTCCTAAACCCAAATCTTTATATTCACGTTTGTCATTAAACTGAAGAAGTGTTAGAATATTAGTTTACCAGAATATGTTATTGCCCTATGTCAGAAGCCAAAATGCTTCTGTACCTCCTCCTTGTCTTTTGTTATCCCTGCGTTTTTCGTCCCAGCACCAAAGAGGTGGTCATCTCTCTGCCCCACTACGGGACTGACTGAATGTACCTGAAATTATGGAAGGAATCTATTCTGTTAAAACTCTGCGCCCAACACCCATCCAAGTGAAAAAATAACAACCATATTATAAGTGAGTGAATCCTCTTCTAAAACCTTAGTTAAAAATAAGATGTTCTGTTAAATGCTGTATTACACCCAAAAATAATCTTCCTTCAATCAGAAAATGAACTCACTGCAATTAACATTTCAATTTCTTTACATTTGTATGTTTACGCTGATTTAGCTAAAAGGAAAACTGACCCAAATCCACAGCCTTTGACCTTAACAGGGGTAAAAACACCCAGATTTGACCACCATAACAGCCCCTCTCCGCCTGCACTCCCCTCACACACAGTCCTCTCCCCAGCTGATTAACAGAGGCTGTTATTGCAACAAAAAATCAGAGTTGTCAGAAAACATAAACAATCAAATCTTAAATCTCACACTAAGTATTTCTTACTTAAACTTATCAAAGTCCTCTATTGCAGGCTATTAAAATATTCCAAGATTATATAACCGTATTGGTTAACACTCGTTATCATTCAGTATTAATACAAGTTTACTTTTAATCTATACAACTTGTGTATACATGTTTTATGTTAAGCCTATTAGTCTCATCACTGTGTAAAAAATGTTAAGAGCATTACAACTGTTTTAATACCTCACCTACTATCAACATCTGAGGCAGAATGAAGCACGCTCCTACGACACTTTAAAGAAAACTATTTTAGACATTTGGTTCAAGACATTTTATATTCTACTTAGGGGATCACTGGATTTCAGTGGGAACGTTTTTATTTGGTAATTTGGTCAAATATTCTTGTTTTTCTTTTGTTTTCTTTAGGAGGCAAAGTTGTATCATCTGAAAAATCTGCCTCCATCGACTAATTTTGTATTTCCAAATTTGTAACAATTCAAATGTATCTTAGGTTCAAAGATTAAAAAGAGTAGATTGGCATTGTGGGACATATATGTATATGGTCAATACCACTCTGGTATACTATATATTTTCAAATATTTGTTAAAGTGAAAACAGTCCTTTCATTCCTCTATCGTCTTCTCAATATGCAATTAGCATACAGCACACATGTAATAAGCATAAAAAATACTATCTTATACCTTTATTTAGCCCAGTACAATGGAACCAAGACAACTAAATCAGGAGTAAGGCGAACTGTAAGTCCTCCACCGAGGCTCACTTAACAAGCCTAAACCTGTTAATATAGGCTACTAGTTCTCAACCCTAGGGGCTTTATTTAATTTTTTTCAACATTTTATATCAGTTTCTTTCAATATATCCAGGATCCATTCCATAATCTTTCATCCCATTCCTGACAACAACCGTGTCCCCAGACAACTGAATCCATCACACCAAGAGGATTTCAAATCAAGGCTTTTCTAACTGAGTGCTGTTGAACACTCTTCAAAACAATGGCTCATAATGTGCAGTTAGTGACAAACATTGTGCCAACTGCATTTTCTAAAATAATATGCAAGAAGGTAGAGAAAGAAAGAGAGAGGACAACCCAACATCTGTCTTCTTCTATGGTGTTTAGTCTGTCTCTTATTTTTCTAACATGCAGCATGTAGGCTAGTGTACAAACAAAAAAACAGAAGCAGCATTCTGGGCCCTCAATAAACCAGGAAAATAATATTTGGGATTGTAATGCCCTGTATACTGCACATATTGCATTTACGCTCTTTCTTTCGTGGAATTTCACTCAATACACATCTGTATTCTTGACCTTCAATATAGTGACAACTTCTGATCAGAGCCTTTTGTCAACTTTGGCCTGGAGTGTAGCCTTAGACTTGATCCAGATCAAAATGTTCCCCAAGAACCAGGCTTTCCGGCTCTTAGTTTCAGAAATGCCACTTCCAAAAGTCTTTAGTCTTAAAGCTACTATCGCAGAGTGCTGTAAAGTGTGTAATTGAATTTGGTGAATTCGTCAGCAGACACACTTGTCGATCTCGTCGACATCTTCTTAGCAAAGATCCGATCAAGCAGATTCGACAGCGAGGAAGAACAATTTTCAGCATTTTTGAATGACTCGAGGAGTAATGTTCATCAACAGCGTTCATCCTTCATTCGATTGTGTTGACCCCAGATGAAGAAGTGTATGTGCGTGTGTGCGTGTGTGCGTGTGTGTATGTGTGTGAATCCCCTGAAGTTTCCTGTCCAGGCGGCTGCTCAGTAGCACCTCCTAGAGGCCCTGAGAAACAGAGACAACCTCTCCTTAAAAGCATGACCAATGGACAAGTCGTTTCTTGATGACACTGACGGATCACTCAAATGTCAGTGGAAGTACTTTCTGCGTTGGCTGAAACAGCGCTGAGACCAAATGTTTTTTTTGTTGGGAGAGTTGGTCTGGTGCGACACTGGTCCCTACGTCAGATTGAGTTTTTTTCACCAAAGAAACACAGAATCGAAAAAAAGCCAGTCAAAGCTGAAAAACAAGAGTGGACCGAATGCACACCAGCCGCCGTCCATGATTATTTGTGAAGTGAATTTAGTTGTTTCTGCAGAATCGTCGACTTGAGCCTACCAATCACAGAGCAGACTCATTCTCCGTGTGACAGGAAGTAGTGGTGGTGGTGGCCTTGCCCTTCTTGTTGAGTTTTAGGAAGCTGGGTTTCTCCGTCACAACGGCAACAGCCAGTTCGTCACTGTTGGGGTTTTCCGGCTTTGCCAAGGACCGTTTCGAAGCTTTGGCTGAATCCCCATTCCTGTCAATCATAATGTATATCATGGTTAGGACTGTGTTTTAAGTATAAAGGAATAGTTTGAAAAATATGCTTTTTCGCTTTCTTGCCAACCAAAGATTAGCTTAATTTAGCCTTACATTCTGGAAACATTCACAATAACTGAGCTTTAGAGGTGCCGGTATCTGGAAATTGTTAGTTTTGGACACCTCATTACCTCTGTTTCTAGTCTTTTTGCTAAGCTAACGTATGATATGTTAGCTTCATATTAACCATAAAGACATTAGTTGTATCGTCTTCTGAAATGTCAAACTTCTGTCCTTTGATGACAACAAAAGCCAAGAACAGGTGGTTTTCTCACCCATGGTTTGGAGCTGGGTAAATTACCAGGAAGAGGGCGGTGAAGAAACCGAGGAGGGAGCCCCCAGAGGCCACCATGGGAATTACACGGACGCTGCCAACCGCCTCGACGACAGCACCCAGAGCTGAGGCCACTAGGATCTGACTGATGTACACCTGAAATGTGACAAATTATTACATTCACAGCATAGTCTTTTCAGATGGACATATTTATATATAACTATAAAACAATGATTTCATTAAGTGAAGACTCACCTGGCAGGATAAGATAGCACAGTCGATGCCAAAGCCTCTCCGGGAGTTCCCAGGACTGTGCCTGATGTACTACAGGAGGCAGAGACAGTAACAGTTAATGAGGGCTACATATTGAAAAAATTGCTTTTCACAAACAGTAATTCAATATGAGACCTTCTATACATCCATCTATTCATTCAGTATGCAGTCCCTGGCCATGTTAACATTATATATTAATAGAAACAAAAAAGGAATTTCAAGTAGAATTTGTCTGTACCTCTTTCATTTCGTGATACTGTCCTAGAAGAGCATACGGACAGTAGGATATACTCATGGAGATGATACCCATGGTGCTTATCATCACCATGGAAACATACACATTAGGGAAGATTGACATGACAGCAGTTCCTGTGGAGGGAAAATAGATACATTTTAAATTTGTATCGCTCTTATTGATTTTGCCCAAATGTATTGATATATAGGCGTTTATACCTATGGAAAATGCAAGCGTTCCCATGATGTAGATGACTTTAATGCTCAGGTCAAAGTTGTCGAGGTACTTCTGAAGGATAGCTGGAAAAGGGAGATTAATTGAATGGTTAATACATAGTTTAGTGCACTTTACATTCAGAGAGTAAGCACCGAATCTGAAGGTCTATATAAATATGTGCTTGCTTTTTACCTGAACATGTAGCAGCAGTCATGGCATAAATAACCAGTCCCCAGCATCCCATCTGAACTCCTTTGTTATAGTTCTCCAACAGAGTAGAATTAACAGGAGCCTGACAGAGAGAAACAAAGGCTTCATTTTTATTACTGAGCTGTGGATTAACTAAGGCCATTAATTGATTTGGTTGCTACATTTGGAGCTGTTGTCCATAACTTTGGATAAAAAAGATGATATAATGCTGCAGAGAACATGTATTCTGCTCAATTAATTCACTTACGGTAGGATCTCCATGGTAGATGACTTGACCCATGAAGTCAGTGAAGAAGACGGCCTCAGCGATGATGGAGAACCAGGTGAGCAGGTGACAGACGCACAGACGCAGCAGCTCCGGAGGCATCTTCAGCATGGACATCCAGAGCAGCCGCACGGTGGTCTCAACCTGACCACAGGACACACGATCATACAATATCCACCCAAATCAAAACACTAAGAAATAAAGCAGATACAAGTGATTACATTTTCTCCTCACCTCTCCCTCTTCGCTCTCTGTGTCCCCGCTGGAGGAGTTGGTGTTTCCGCTGGGGTGCTTCCTCCTCTGCCGGTGCCTCCTCCTGTGTCTGGCCTCCACCTCGTACAGGTCGTTCATGCTGCGGGACGGCTTGATGAGATAAGCGCCGTTGGCCCGGCGGTAGCGTTGGCTCCCCACTCGACCGTAGTAGGAGAAGGTGCATGACGGCTGGCGGTAGAAGATGTGACGGTTACGGGAATGCCGCATGGGGGCTCCAGTACTGGCAGCTGGGATAAGAAACATTATTAACATTAGGGGAGGGTTTATGTTTATCATATGTAAAAATACTGAGGATAGGGGAAGATCTCTCCTGTTCCTTATAGGAACAAAAGTACACTGTAGTGGCAGTTAATACTCAAATGTATTTTTTACTTTTAATTACCTCTTCTCTCATCACTTTTAATTGTGTTGTGTTATTATGGATTTTATTTCCAGAGTGAAGTTATTCCAAATGTCTCTCAGTTTCTAAGTATTTCCCTCAAAACAAAATGTTTTAAAGTTAAAGTTGGATATTTCCAGAAATAAATTATCTTTCTTTCTAGCCAATATGTAGATAAGAAGATTTAAACCACTATCATATTTGAGAGTCATATAATGTTCTCATTCAGTCGTCTTATCTAGACGTAATTAACCTCAAGAATGCAAATAGGATTATTTTCTAAATGTGTAACTATTCCTTTAAATATTTAAAATCTGCTTCTGCAATGAGAATGATAACGACAATAAAAGACAAAAAAGCAGAGTGAATAGCCTAAATAGTTCCATAATAGCAGTCAAAAAAACAATACATGAGATATTGCATAATATATCAAATAATTTCTTAAAAATAAATAAAAATCTATAATAAATAAGGGTGAAAAACCAACCTTTGACCATTCCAGCGCGATGTGCCTGTCCTTTAGAGCTCAGCTGGTTGGTGCTAGCTCTATCAGGATTATTGACGCTGGCTAACAGCCGCCCGTTCAGTGTCCGCTGCTCGTTCAGCTGGTTGTTGAGCAACGCCTCCTGACCATCGTCATTTTCCATTTCCTGCAAGAAAGCCGAGAGGCGGGAAATCCTTGGGGTGTTGGAGTGTGTTTGGTGTTTGTTGGCTTCGAGAAGATCCTGACTTCCTGCGCTGCTGCTGCGTCTGATGTGGCCGAGGCGGGGCGGTGGAGTGCGATTGTAGTTGAAGAAGTTACCAGCGGTAGGGGGCGAGCCGTGGTGGGGGGAGAGGCGGTCGGCGAAGATGGAGGGCTCTAAGTGGCACAGGAACAACGCATCGTAGTCCAGGTGGTCGAGAGTGGTGTCTGCCATGGCCAGGACACTGTCACTTTTACCTGGAGACAGACGAGGAGAGGGTCGATTAGTTTAGATGTAATGAAAATGGCTGTGCGGGAAATCTATGGGAGAATGGGACAAACCCCAATCCTAGTTCCAGTGCATAAACTGAATCTAAATTGTCTGGTTGAGGGTCTAAAAGTCACACAATGCAATGTGGAACTGATGAGAACCTTATTACAGACATTGGTGGACAGGGACCATGGCATATTTGTTTTTCTTTGACAGATATGTTGTCTTTATGGCTCGTCTTCTTTTGTTTGGCACTGCTTTTTGGGTTATTTTCCCAACACTTTATCTGTATGTGTGGGATTCTTTTAAAATGCGAGAATTAAAAGGATGTGTAATTCAGTGTGCAAAATATCTCAAAGCACAGGAACAATCATATTCACATCCCTGGGAAATATGAATGGGAAAGGAGGCAAGAGTGTGTGAACTTACTTCGCACAAGCTCCATCTCTAGGAAGTCCATGTCCATATCTCCATGCTCTGATAGGTTGTCTCCGTAGGGGTCATAGAGGTCGTAGCTGTCTATCGTTTCATTTTCTCCAATTAAATCCAGCTTGGGGGCAAGAAGTCCATTCCTGCCATTGGTCAAAGGGAGCGGTTTGGTGCGATCAACACTCTCCTGGTGAGAGGACAGAAAACCAAAGTCTTTGGGTTGGATTCACTTTATACATTTGATTGTTAAAGTGCACACACACACACACACACACACACACACACACACACACACACACACACACACACACACACACACACACACACACACACACAACACACACACACCACACAACACACACACACACACACACCACACACACACACACCACACACACACACACACACACACACACACACACACACACACACACACACACACACACACACACACACACACACACACACACACACACACACCTGGTCCATCCTGTCTTGTTGAGGCGAGTACTGCTGCTCCTCGATGCTGAACAGATGTAACATCACAGAGATGAAGAAGAATATGGCAGCGAAGAAGAACAGGATCTGCTCCTGAGACTTGAAGGCTGCGCCAAGGAAAGTGTGCGTCCAGTCACAACCTCCGAGAGCGTATCCCACCGCACCCCCAAGACCTGCACACATTAACAGAAGTTATAATAGAAGCACAAAAGATACATTAGCAGTCAAAGATTGCGTCTAATCTCAATTTCTTTCCCCGAGAACAAATTAAATTCACCGTTACATTGATTACAATGCACAACTGCAACAAAATATATGATATATCAGTTCAAACATTTTCAATATTATATCTTAATGTTGTTTATTGCCAGGACAACAAATTATATTACACAAGACTTTGACGTACATTATTTAAATCCTCTAAATGTATTTATGGGCATTATTTAAATCCTCTAAATGTACTATTTATGTGTCAGCAGTACCTGCTGAGGCAGCATGGATGTTTAGTGCCATGTCTTGTTCGTCGGAGTCCGCCACATCTAGCAGGTACGCTCTGATTGGTCCCTCTGATGCGTCCGCACTGAAGTCCAACACCACCACCCCCAACACGGTGAGAACAATTCCTATTGGTTGTCTCCCCTGCTCGTCACCCATTGACAAACCTAACAGAGAAAGACAGGTATGGACAAAGATTTGTTATTATAAAATATTACAAAATGTGTGCTTGTTATTATTATTAAACAATGAACAAACTGACAAGGAAACATTTTGATGACAGACAAAATGTAATTTATATTTTATAAATTTGATTTGTTTATTTATTGGAGAATTGCCAATTTATTCTGTATTAAAAAAGATAGTTCTTGCAACATGCTTTTTAGATATTGACAAATAAACACATATTTACGACTAAACATAACATAAATATATATTTTTGTTTGTCCAGATTTTAATATTTCCATCACCAGTAGGAGCGATAGCTGAGAAAATATGGTGTTTAATAATAATATTCTATACTTAAAGAGGTGAATCTGTGCTGTAAATGTTCTACTGTACAAACTTTGTGATTTGTTGACACCATGATTTGAACATATAACAGACAATTAACTTCAATATAATCTGAATAAAAGCCATAGAAGAAATACATGTCATTTTAATTTAAAAAATGTATATTTATGAAGGAAATATAATCACCATCGCTCTACATCATTGTTACGTTCCCTCTAAATCTAGGGGTACACAAACATGTGTAGTTGCTACAACGATGTGACCCTGGTCAGAGCTGCACATGTGATCAATAGTTGATTAGTGAGTTACAACCATAGACTGTATATATAAAGGTTACAACAGACACACAACAGTACACAACCAAAACACAAAGCCATACACAAATGGATCACTGCACATTTCCCATAATGCTTTGCACGATGTGTGTGACCTTGTGTGTCTCATTACATCTGTGACCCGGTCCTGGCCTCACGCTGCTCGGGGGCCTCGGTGTGAAATTGTATGAATGTTTGACATGGGAATGGTTAGTTAGTAGATACAAAGATTGAAGATTCAAAAGCGTTATTGTCAAAACATTTAGAAATCTACGGTGTAATTATGTAATGTATGCACCAGTGCAATTTACAAGACATACGAAAAAGAAAAAAAATAGTGCAAGCTCAGGTGTTTAATAGTCTTATGGTCTGTGTGATGAAACTGTCCCTGAGTCTGGTAGTTGTAGCCGGGGAGTCTGTGGCACAGTAGAATAGTGCGCTGATCTTCTGATCAGTGGAGCACTGGTTCAATCCCCACTGCAGTCAGCATGTTGTTGTGTCCCTAGACAAGACATTTATCCCCAAATTGCTCCTGTGGGGATTGCCCACAGTACTGAATGTATGTAAGTCGCTTTGGATAAAAGCGCCTAACAAGTGACATGTAATGTAATGGTAGTTTTTGTCATGTTGCTGCGATACCGCCTGCCAGACGGCAGCAGACAGAACAGTTTGTTGCTGGGGTGATGGGGGTATTTTATAATTCTGAGGGGTTTCTTCCTGAGCCGCTGGGAGTTAAGATCCTCCATGGATGGCAGCTCCGTCCTGGTGATGTGCTGTGCCGTTTTCACCACCCTCTGTAAAGTCTTACGGTTGAGGGCGGAGCAACTGCCGTACCAGGCCGTGATGCAGCCAGTCAGGATACTCTCTATGGTGCACCTGTAGAGGGTCAGGATCCTCTTTATGGTGCACCTGTAGAGGTTCAGGATCCTCTCTATGGTGCACCTGTAGAGGGTCAGGATCCTCTCTATGGTGCACCTGTAGAGGTTCAGGATCCTCTCTATGGTGCACCTGTAGAGGGTCAGGATCCTCTTTATGGTGCACCTGTAGAGGTTCAGGATCCTCTTTATGGTGCACCTGTAGAGGTTCAGGATCCTCTCTATGGTGCACCTGTAGAGGTTCAGGATCCTCTCTATGGTGCACCTGTAGAGGGTCAGGATCCTCTCTATGGTGCACCTGTAGAGGGTCAGGATCCTCTCTATGGTGCACCTGTAGAGGGTCAGGATCCTCTCTATAGTGCACCTGTAGAGGGTCAGGATCCTCTCTATGGTGCACCTGTAGAGGTTCAGGATCCTCTCTATGGTGCACCTGTAGAGGGTCAGGATCCTCTCTATGGTGCGCCTGTAGAGGGTCAGGATCCTCTTTATGGTGCACCTGTAGAGGTTCAGGATCCTCTTTATGGTGCACCTGTAGAGGTTCAGGATCCTCTCTATGGTGCACTGTAGAGGTTCAGGATCCTCTCTATGGTGCACCTGTAGAGGTTCAGGATCCTCTCTATGGTGCACCTGTAGAGGGTCAGGATCCTCTCTATGGTGCACCTGTAGAGGGTCAGGATCCTCTTTATGGTGCACCTGTAGAGGTTCAGGATCCTCTCTATGGTGCACCTGTAGAGGGTCAGGATCCTCTCTATGGTGCACCTGTAGAGGTTCAGGATCCTCTCTATGGTGCACCTGTAGAGGTTCAGGATCCTCTCTATGGTGCACCTGTAGAGGTTCAGGATCCTCTCTATGGTGCACCTGTAGAGGTTCAGGATCCTCTCTATGGTGCACCTGTAGAGGGTCAGGATCCTCTCTATGGTGCACCTGTAGAGGGTCAGGATCCTCTCTATGGTGCACCTGTAGAGGTTCAGGATCCTCTTTATGGTGCCACCTGTAGAGGTTCAGGATCCTCTCTATGGTGCACCTGTAGAGGTTCAGGATCCTCTCTATGGTGCACCTGTAGAGGTTCAGGATCCTCTCTATGGTGCACCTGTAGAGGTTCAGGATCCTCTCTATGGTGCACCTGTAGAGGTTCAGGATCCTCTCTATGGTGCACCTGTAGAGGGTCAGGATCCTCTCTATGGTGCACCTGTAGAGGGTCAGGATCCTCTCTATAGTGCACCTGTAGAAGGTCAGGATGCTCTCTATGGTGCACCTGTAGAGGGTCAGGGTCCTCTTTATGGTGCACCTGTAGAAGGTCAGGATGCTCTCCACCGTAGTCCCATTGATGGCGATGGGGGCGTGTCCCTCTCTCTGCTGCTTCCTGTAAGCCACAATCAACTCCTTGGTTTTGCTGACGTTGAGATGGAGGTTGTTATCCTGGCACCAAGATGTCAGGGTTCTGACCTCCTCTCTGTACGCTGTCTCGTCGGTGATCAGGCTGATGATGGTCGTGTTGTCAGCAAACTACCCTATGTATAAAGGTGTGTGTGTGAATGTGTGTGTGTGTGCGCGTCTGTGTTACATTGAAAGAAAGAGAGCGGTGTGACGCAGCATGACTTTACAAACTGATATCAATTAACGTCAGGGAAACAAATGTTCTTAGAAAGAACAGAAGAGTGTGTGTGTGTGTGTGGGGGGGGGGGTGACAATGCGGGGGCACTACTCACTAGCCAGACAGACAGGAAGTGAATTGTGATTGGTGGAAAGGGGGAAGCAAACAGGAAGCATTTCCCTGTGAACTGCCTGCTTCTGTGTTCCCATGTCATCACACACACACACACAAACACAGGTTACTACAGTTTTCCCATGTCAACCATGTGTTGTTCACACACATTCATATAAATACAACCACGAAAAGGTAGACTTTTGCTTATTCTCTCACTTCTCCCACACAAATACAGTTCACTGGTATTGTTAACCCTGCTGGCAAGGTGCTCAAAAACGCGCACAAACAAACACTGGTGCCCTAAAACGACCTGAGTGCCAAACACTGTGCAGAAGAATTGAAGTGTATACAATCTTCTGACAGAAAACATTCAAACAGATTTCTCCTTTGATATTTCAGTTTTTGTTTCTGTTTTTAATCATTTCTGTTTAGAGATATTTAAAAAAAAAAATGCTATTGTTGCATTGGACATTTGTATCTATGTAGACCTTATTGGAATATGAAACATGTAAACCTGACGAATTGTTAACCTCTTAAGCCCTGAGCCTGTTTTTCAGGTTTCAGACTCGAAAATGCCACTAACACAACAAAGACTATATCTTCACTTCTAAAAGGGGTAAATTAATAATCTTTTCTCTTAAAGCAAGGTTACATCTGTGAGTTGGATGTAGAAGTGTCAGAATCAATATAGATGTTTTTATTTTAAAGTAAATTCAGATGGTACATAGTAAAAACATGTACATTCTAATGTCCGCCTAAAAAAAAAAACATTACTTATAGTGAAAACCACCCTTGAATGATGGGTTAGTAGACTAAAAGCTTTAGGAATCCAAACTATAACATATAATAAGTACCCTGTATCAAGATTGATGCAAAACAAGTGAAATTTGATCTTTTTAGAGAGGTTTAGAAAAATAAAGTCCAGGCGGACTCACCTCTGGGTAATTCAGTTCCATTTGAACTTTTTCACTGTAAAAATCATTGTATTACTTTGAATTATCACTATAGGTATTCATTCCATCCAAATACAACTGTTGTGAAAAAATAAAATAAAAAATAAAACATACTCTGTTATCCTCTTAGGCCCCACGGACCCGAAATCGCGTCATTTGCAGGAAACAACGTCTAAGGAACCTTAATATTTAATAAACTATGAATATTTTATATCCATATAACGGGAAAAAACTAATTTAACTGATCTTTTTCATTTATTTTTTCAAAAAAAACACACAATGCTAACAGTGAGCCTCTGAATTAGCCCCGAGTGAAAAATGCTAACCTATTACTGCACTGAAAATCACTCCTAGCTCCCTTATTACTTATCCTAGCTGCACATCCAACACATCGTTTATGATCGTAAAGACACAGAATCTAACGGTGCCCACCTCAACACTGAAAGATACAAACTCGCGAGGTTATCAACAAAAACGTACATCAAAACAAGTGGCGCTAGGTACTAACATGCGCTAGGCTAACATGGCTTACCTTCCTCTTTGTCTGGTCTAAACTGGTCTTCAATGGCATTACAACGATAAAAACGATGATGTAGTTAATCCATAGGTTAATATCCAATGTGGCTGTGTCCCCTTTGAAATGTTCTGATAATCTATAAGCAATAAAACTGCAATTCCGTTACTGCTGTCCGCTCTGTGCTCCGTGCGCTCTGGGTCCTGCAATTCCTGCTTCCTTACGTAGTAAACAATAAGTAAAGTTCGCTGCGTAATGTACTTACGCTGGCTGGCATTCTTTATACTTTA